GTTCCCCTCCCTGGGACGGTTTTCTTCCTTGCAAACCCACTCTCCCCCTCTCTGTGTGCTCTGCTGCAGGCGTCCCGGTTAGAAGACTGGCTCAGCGACGTGGTCCGGGCAGCGTATGTGCCGAAGGTCAATGGTACGGCAGCCTTTGCTTCCTCCTCGGACACGTGGAGTGTCTGAATTTAGGGCTGTTGGATCTGCTGCCTCTCTCTGTTGTTCTGATGGGGACACTGAGGCCATAGAGAGATGAACCCCCATTTCTAAGATGCAGAAACTGAAGCACCAATATTTCACTCAAATGATGTTGATAGCACTTAGGTCATGCCAGGCTGTGGTCCCAAAAGTGGATCTGACCTGGGTCCTGCCTTCTGCTTCCACAGTCCAGAGGGAAATCAATTGTATAAAGAAATGATTATAATATACACAACCCAGGGTCCACAAGGGATTGATAGAACCTCTAGGTGGCCTTACTGAGGAGAGCCACTGACACATACAGAAAAAGGACATTTTTGTTTGGACATAAGAGGATAAATAGTTTTCCAGAATAAAGCTATATCCCCAGGAAGAGAAGCAACTGGCTGGAGGAAAGCAATAGAGCAGGATTAGTTGGGTCCTAGGGTCCTTAACGTCTGAGACACCCCCTACACCCATATTTTTGCTCTCAACCATTCTCTCTTGCTTTTAAAATTATTTTATTTTTAAACATTTATTTATTTAACTATTATTTGTTATGATTTTCAAACCACTGGGTCCAGGATTCGAGTCTCAGTTGGCCATGTGGGAATCCACACCTTAACCAACATGCCACCTGCTGGCTCCGACAATCATTCTCTCTGTACAGTGGACCTGAATGTTGGAATTCCCCTGCCCAAGATTCTCAACGTCAATTTTGCCAATTCAGTTCTGGAAATCATAGAGGTGAGTTTCCTCTGCAGATGTGGTCTAGCCGGGTCTGAACTTTGTCTCTGGAGAGTCCTGCTTGAAATCCATGAGGGACATGCTTTGCCTCATTGTTTGGTCTGCCCTGTACCATTTTTAAAGTGCTCACAGAATGGCAAATTACTGGGACCAGCAGATGGTGTAATGGTTATATTGCTGCACTCCCATGTGGTCAACCACAGTTCGAGTCCCAGACTCAGTGCTTAAAACACACTGGGCATGTGTGCATGTATGCCCAAACTCCTGAGGGGAGAAGAGAAGGGATTGCAGTGTGGCCATCCCCTGGGTGGGGGGGCGGTATTTCTTACTTTCCGTCTCTCTGTCTCTCTGTCTCTCTAGCATGCACCCATTAGCAAAAATCTCTCTCAAAAAAAATTGTAAATTAACTCAGGAATGGCAGATATATGCGGGATCTTGGAAAAAATGGAAAAAGTGAATTTAAAGTATGAGTTAATATTGATGCAATAAATAAAAAAGAAATCCATGCAGTTTTTTCATAATACCCATTTTCCATGACATGTGTGCTACCACTTTTTCCTTGCATGCCCATGGCAGACATTGTTAATCAATTACAGAGGATTTTCTTATTGCATTCAGACACACGTCTGATCTATAGAACAACCTAAGCTTCACTCACAGGATCATAGCTCTCCTATTCCAGGGGTAGCAAATACACGTGCTCTCTCTCCCTTATCCTGTGCCCATGCTGACATGACTAATAGATCACGAGACCCTTTCTTTAAAGTTTATTTATTTATTCCATGAGCTAGAGAGTCTTGACACCATGATCCACCCCTAGCCTCAGCCAACCCTGGGTCATAAGCACACATGTGCCTGGCCTGCTCAGGAAGGTCTCCGGAAGTGTATCTAGAACCTGGAACCTCTCCTCGTGGGTCAGTCTCACAGTTCTGTATTTTACCCATTTACCGTTGTACCACCATCTGGCCCCCATAACGCTTTTATTTGCTGACTTTTTTTTTTTTTATAAGAAATTTTTGCTATAGGATACATGCACTCACACCAGAGACAGAGAGAGATGGAGATACAGAAAGCAGGAAATTACCCCCCTAGGAGGGATGGCCACGCTGCACTCTCTTTCCATTCTCCTCTCAGGATTTTGCCACACATGCATACGCACTCAGTGTGAGTTTCAAGTTGCCGGGCTCAGGACTCGAACTGCAGTCAACCATATAGGAATCCAGCACTTAAGCACTCCACCACCTGCCAGCCCTTCTTGCTGACTGTTGACATAGTCTCAGTATCTTTTTCAAATTAGTGCAATCTGAGTCTTGAAACAGCTCTGGGAGGTAAGCAGATAGGGGGTTTTGTACCCATTTCTCAGATAAAAACCAGGACTAAGGAGGTCACATTTCTAACCTAAGATCACACAGTAAATCAGTGGCCAAAATGCACTTGAACTTGAGTCTCCTACTGTCAGCAACCTGTCCCACCCTGGGTGTCCTTTATCCATCGTGCATCCATTTGTTCATTCGCTCACTTAATGAGTCCCTGCTGTGTACCGGGTACCGGGCTGGCCCTGGGTGGGGTGGGGAGATACAGAGGGTTACAGGGACTGGGGTGTGGCAGGGGGGG